AAAAAAAAAAAAAAAAAAAAAACAACAGAAGAAAAAAAATTATAGCATATTTGCAATTTGAACGAACGGTTTCATATTTACCGTCAATTTTATCAACCATTTAACTTATTATTAGAGAATTTTCATGCAGCCAACATTGTAATTCAATTACCTCGGTAGATTATATTCATATTTTCTTAGCAAAGAGCGACGATGCTCTCGATATCTCAGAAAATAAAGCTGATATGAGATATTATGTCCTTAACTGATTAACTGTAAGATCCGTATTATTTAGAAAGCCATTCGGTATTTTACTTTAATAAGGTATTTTAGTTAACTAACGGCACATCCGAGCATATCATTCTTATGCAACTTTCTTCACAGCTCGATGAAAAGTCGACGATCTTATGGTTCGATTATCCGAGGCACTCTAATTTTTTAATGACAAATTACTCGATCGCCTTTGCAATTAAGTGCAAGTCTTAAACGGGTATTGTTGCTAATGTGTAAACGGCTCTCGGTCAAAGTACTTATAAGTACGCTGCAATTACGGTACAGTATGGAAGTGCGGCCGAGTACTTTTTCAGCGCCCCATTGCCTCGTTCCACGGAGAAGTTGTTCATCATCAGCGGCGGGATTGATTCTCGAAGTAGTCGCCCGCTTGATTGGCTGTCGCGAGAGCAGACGAGCGATTCGTTGCTTCTGATTACGTCATCCAGAGCATCCGTTAGATCGGAGTCGAAGGGAGCCAAGGAGAACGGCATCTTTCAGCCGCTATGGCGAGTCGCAGTCCCGTGCATAATTGTATTTATTAGTCTGGCAAGGACGTTGGGCGAGAAATTGAAGCCGCGTTGCCAGTCGGATTTAGGCTTTTTTATGAGGAAATAAAATAAAATTGAAAATCACTCTATTATCCTATTTTAAAATCGCTTCAGTTTGCACACTAATGAGAATCTATCCATATATATATATATATATGTAAACGATTGCGCCTTGCATTCTCAATGTCGTTTTACTTTTCAAATAAATTGCCGTAATGTACAATTAATAATACATTCATATATATATTATTTAAGTAATTTGTTTGGTCATCTGACAAATTTATGGAAAACATTGTTATTTGGATAGTCTTTATGCATTATTTAAAAAGACTTTTATCAGTACTATTATATTTAACGCTTACAGTTACGATTAGCTCAATTTACACACACACACACACACACACACACACACACACACACATATTTAAACGAGTGTCAAATTAGTTTTAGATGTATCAATTTATAGTCTTTAATCATTTGCAGTAGTATTATTTATTCAATTAATAAAACGATTACGAATGATGTCACGACGAGACGTTATATAACTGACAATTATAAACGTGAATTCGTTCAACTTTGACCGAATGCATCCATTTCATCCAAGTTTATTTGCATCGCATTATTTTTATTATTGTATAATAGTTCCAGCTATGCAATAAACTTCTCCCGCAGCCCAGTCCATTACTCATTTTCATTTTCAGCAAATAATAATAATAATAATAATAATAATAATAATAATATAAACAAAAATAATATATAAATGTGGTGTGGATTTAGCTTACGGCGGTTTGTATTTATTATTACAGAAGGTGGACCCCGAGTTGATATTTACGAAACAAGAGAGAATTGGTAAAGGCAGCTTCGGCGAAGTTTTTAAAGGCATCGACAATCGAACCCAACAAGTCGTCGCCATCAAGATCATTGACCTCGAGGAAGCCGAGGATGAGATCGAAGACATTCAGCAGGTGCTAGTGCGACAGTCCGTACGTCACGAAATATTATGGATCCTACCTCAAGGTGAGATATTAGCTATTAGCTATGCTAGAATTACATAGGCGAGAAAGTTTTTTGCGCGTAATTAGGTCATATCCTTGATTATACAACTTTAAGATCGTGATTTCGTTTACGGATATGAATCATTGCTTTGGTACTGTATAAATAATACATTTCTGATTCGTTAGTCACATTAACAGTGGTTTTAATTATTACACGCCAAATAACTCGCGCACATTTTTCTTTTTTATCCATTCAACGTTCTTTACTATTATTATCATTATCATTATTATTATTATTATTATTATTATTATTATTATTATTATTATTATTATCATTATTATCTTTTTTTCTCTCTTAATTCAAATGCAGACTTTTCAATATTATATAGGCATATACAAGTACGCGTCTTAAGATGTATAAAAAGAAACAACTTTTTAAGAGGCAACAGTGCAAATTTAATGCTAATCGCGTTGATACAATACCGGATTATAGTATTATATTATATTATAAATGTATCCTGACTTTTATATTGGCTTTAAAATGAATAAGCGGACTTCGTATTTTATAATTTTGATAAATTATTCTCACCGCGGAGAAAAATATATCTATTTGTCTATCGAATAAAATTCGGTTGAATACCATTATTGGCCGGATGAACAAATAGATTATTGAAGAGGAGCTCGATTATGCAATCGTCGTCACGTCTTTGCGGCTCTTTTCAAATATTAATAATATATCCGCTAGCGAAAAGACTAGTCATCTATTTCAATTTGCCATTTTTCATCAATGCGTAATACCGCAGCGTGATAAATGCTAATTACCATTGATTATGAAATGAAAATGAACGGAACGTATTGGTAACTCCGAAAGTGCATATAAAAGCCGAGCGTTCGTTAATATACTCATTAATTTCATATTTAATTCCGCGGAACGAAACAATTAATGAAAGCAATACATAGGCCAGTATAAAATAATCAACTAATATAATTAACCAATAATGTAATTATCTTTAGGGCGAGCGCGTCCGTAATGGCAGGCGCGGGCAAAAATCAATAATAACCTTAATAATCGGCACAACGGGCATTTGACATTTTCTCATCGATATATCGCATTTCGTATCGTAAAAATTTGAGGATTTACAATAAAGTAAAAGACGATAAACATGAGCGAGATTTGCTCAATCGTAGCGAATAATGGCATTCATTGGGCTAGTTTGCCAAAGGGCCAAAGGAAGTGCATAATTAATTAGTCGGCGGGTGGGTTGCGAAACGAGACAGAATGGGATTAGTTTGACGTTACGCCTAGTTATGACAGTGGGCAGGATCTCGTGCCGATTTGAATCCGGGGCAAGGTTCGCCATAAAAATCGCCACCTGCGTTTGCCTGTGTACGCGCGGGTGGCGGTGGGATGGGATGGGATGGGATTGGGATTGGGATTTGGGGGAGGGGGAGGAGGAGAGCAGTACCCCACTGCGCACGAGATGGTGCAGGGGTGAGAGAGGTGAAAGAGGATGGGATTTGGGGGGTTGGGGGAGAACGAGATCCGGTTAATGGCAGGCGGTTAATTGCCGAGCGACTCGTGACAAACGTGACGCATAACCACGCCTCGTTGTTTTCCAGACCTCTCGCGAATCGCCGTAATTCGTCGCTTGACGTTCCGATGCCTCCGTGAATCTTACGTAAAGCAGCGAGGTGCCGCGATCCAGAGAGGGGTAGATAAGGATTCACACCACGGCTAATATCATAACTCATTCGTTGCGCTTAATGAAGTGTGCTGGGCGTGGATCGAGCCTTCTTTCCTACCTTATCCCTGCAAAATTCTAGTCTGCGCACCTTTCGACCTATTATACGTATACGGTACTACTATCGTCACCACCAACACCACCAACACCACCAACAAATGCCTATTTTTTAATTCCTCTGGCTTAGCGCTACGCGAGACCTTATATTTCGCGATTCTTTTCTTCATTGGGACTTTGAAAAATTGTTGTTCATTAGATCGATTGATATCATGAATCGGACATATGTCGCGAAACAGACATAAGAAAGACATTGGCTACGACTGGAGCTCCATTAGCTTATTATCCTTGACTGCGCTATTAAATATTTCATCGTAGAATATTGTTGGATTTAAGAGAGCATTCTTCAGGTTATCGATAAGTAGATAAAAAAAAAAAATAGATTAGTATTTCACAAATTTTACATGTTTCATTGATTTCGATTATTAACAATACGAGCCTGAGAGTGCATGTATTTTTATCGACCAACTTAATATTTTACACACTGATATATAAATACATATGTTAATAAATTAATGAATTGGAATGATTATTAAATCCATGAGTAATGAAAACGCGAACTCGCACAGATGATCAAAAACTAGACGTTTTACAGCATTTTTCAATATAGACTTATAACCTATTCGCGCCGTCTCTAGTTTGATGATTTGAAAGGGGAGAGAAAAAGGAAAGGTTAAAAATATGATATTTTTCATGTTAATTAGTTTGTAAACAACAATAGAGGAATTTTAATAGGATAATGTGAGGAGAAAGACTCTCTACAATGTTGTAGACATATAACAATAGACTACTAGTAATTATTTAAAATTTTATACCGTGAATAAAATTATAATTAATTCTAATGTATATATTCATGATTTAAATTATATTTCTCAATTTAAATTCAAACGTAATCATTATTATGTAGCTCCGAGCTTCTTTTGAACGTTATATAAAAAATCCTTTATATGAGATATTTTCATTTTTCAATATCGTCCGAGCGTAACGTCCTATCAATGTTATACAACAAGCTTGTACACGATGAAGATATTGTTAAATAATTGATAGTAATATTATTAATTCATGCAAATTATCATGGATTACCGTATACTAATAATGTGGTAAAGAAAGGTAAGCGTTAATTATCGGAATTCTCAAATATTGCATTGGAGAGGTAAATATTTTGTCTAGAATAAATAATGATGGAATATAATAGAAAAAGGAAGAAAAAAAAAATAGTAAGTAATAACGGTACATTTTATAAGCAAAAATAATGAAAGAATATTCCCATTCGATGGTGGATAGGTATGTCAGAATACGATTTGACAATTTTCGTGTTTCTAAAGTGAGAAGAAGAAGAAGAAAAAGCTTTACATCCGAAATAAAAGCAATTTATTTACAATTTAATCTAGGCATCAATTATATTCTGCAAATGCAAACTGGATCGGTTATATCGTCAAAAGAGATATTTGTCGATTAATAATTCTGAGAATTAACATACACTTTATTGAGTAGAATGAAAGGACGTTTAGTTAAGTAAAATTTCGGCTATTCGTGTTGATGATTAAACTAAAAACCAATTGAAAGTTTTTGATTGAACGTTTTGTTAAATAAATACGCGTAATATTAGTAAAGAAAAAATATTTTTATTTGTAAATATAATATCGTGCGCATGATATTCCTAATTTAACAACGTAAATTCGTGCTCAATATCACCTGATTAAACGTAAATTTATTCTTGAATAAATGGTTGGTTGACTCTGACACAAACGTAATTGATCATATAAAAAGTCAATATATATCGGGGATTACGTAATAGGGAGTAAATTTTTGTGTTTTGGCTTGACAGTGATACACGTACACATAAAAAATAATTGTATTGATTAAATGATTGTATCGTCGTTTGGAGGACAAATACACAGTTTTAGCTATTACAGTTTCCACTTGAGATTTGTTTTTTTTTTGTTTTTTTTTGTTTTGCTTTTAATTATTTTTTCAAAAATTTTAATACTTCAAACTCTGATCCCCAACTTTTGTAATAATTATGCATCGATGGTCGTTGAAGTGAAAGTATCGTTAAGCCAGAAAGCATCATTCGATAATACGTACGTTGCAAACGGCATTTGGATCTTCGCAAAATGCCCAACATTCGAACGAATACTCTTACCAATGGCATCTCGCCTCCTCTTATCTGAAATTTAATCATTTATCGATTGGCAGGTCATCGGTTGTATCTTAATTGTCAATTATTGGAGGAAATATAAAAATAATAATAAAAAAAAAAACGTGAAATGTAAAAATTCTAGAGAAGCCATTGAACAGTCTAGGCGTTAAAAAAGTACTTCCTTCAATCCTCGAGAAAGGGGTTTTTTTTTTTTTTTTTTTTTTTAAAGCTTCAATCTACATTCCACGCTGGATCGATAAAACGAAAGAATGCATGCGCGTATTCCGGACAATAATCCGTCTAGTCGGGTTTCACCTTCGGGACTCGTATACGCGCTGGCAGTTGTTAATTCACCTGAGGAGCGAAACTTTCGCTCGTCTCCGCCTCTCACGAAATTGTACACGTAAGTGCCGCAAAGTAGGGAAACAATGCAATTGCGAAGCCCGATGATGATGACACGGCGAATCTATCGAAGACAACCTACACGGAATGATGTCATACGTACCCCCTCCCCGTATCCACTATCCAACAACAACGACAACGATAACGACAACGACAGCAGCACGCACGCACGCACACACTCTCTCTCTCTCTCTCTCTCTCTCTCTCTCTCCCCCTCGTTTCCTTCGACGTTTAAAGTGACTATTGAAGCTGCGTGATTGTCAATCAAGTCGATGACTGTTGTCGAAGGTGTTGGATCCTTCCATCTCTTCTCTCTCTCTCTCTCTCTCTCTCTCTCTCTCTCTCTCTCTCTCTCTCTCTCTATACTTATATATGCTTCCATGAAGTCAAACCGACGGATCTAACCCTCTTTCTACTATTCTCATCCTCTGCACTTACTTTTTCTTCAATTATATGATCAATATTTTAGTAAAAATTAAAATTCCTTGATGACATTAATAACACATTAGTTCTTTCGCAATGGTTTAAATATCCTCAACTTTTAACATTTTTATATTTTTATTTCATAATTTGGTTGTATATTCATCGTTTTAAAAACCGTAATACTACATTATAAAATTTAATGAATCGCGCTGAAATCGATTATAAACATTAACGGCTTAAAAATATTAACGGCAA